ACGTATCGATAAAATGTGTTACTATCAAGTAAACAAACACGCCTGTAAGGTCGATAAGTGATACCTTTCAATATAACGGAATTAAATTTAGAATCTTTTTCTACATCTGATTGAACCGGATATTGGAAATAGTCGAATTGCAAGTCGCCCTGAAATCACTGAATTAAAGAGAAAGTGAAAAAAGAACAAACATAACGAACTTTTTCGTTTCTAAATCTTATAGTTTTCTGAAAAGTAACACCAAACGATGAACTCAAAACATTTCAAACAGTCAAAAAAAATAACTAAATCTAATTTACAAAGACCAAAATCCAATAATCATGAATTAGGATTTCGGAAAGTTAGCATATGATTAAAATTTGTACCTGAAACAAAAGCTCCTCTTCATGGTTGTCATAAATAACTTCAGCGTTGGCAATCGCACTCGCTGCAATACGCTTTTTTTGCGCCTTGGTTAATTTTTTCTTGTTGCTGGACATACTGAAAGCACTTCCACCACTTTGTTCTTTATTACTGTCGCTATCAGCTATTCGAATTTTCAAAATCAAAACAACATGCGAAAAGCGATACTGTGTACTAAACTTTTTCAAATCATCCCTGAAGGAACAAACTTTGAAAAACAAATGTTTTTCCATTTATAACATTGACTAGTCCGACAGTTTTTATAACATTGACTAGTCCGAAATCCGGTAGTTTTTGAAATCTCACTGACGCGAAATATGAACTTTTTTTAAAATAAGTTCTCTATAATCAGCAATGTCAGTGACATCGATGTAGAAAAACGAAGTTCAGGCTAGATGCAACTATGAACACTCATAAGGAATATTCAAGCCTTTCTAATTAAGCTTTTTGTAACAACACACATCATCATATACAAATAATATATTTCGTTAGGGTTAGCTTGTGTCTGAAGATCTAAATATTTTCTAATTTAATTTCTTTTTAAGAATTCAGAGATTTAGAAATTTTTTAGAGATAACGAATTGATATGAATTTTGAGGAAATTCAGCAACTAAAAATGCATAGTTTTTTTGATGCTGATTTGGCAGGGATAAAAAACACATTAAAAGGTCGTGAGAGAGAAAAAGAAAACACTTGGAAAAGTTTCTAGAAATGAAAAAAAGCAACATACGCTAATGATTTGAAAGCAGGGGAAGCAATAGCTGCAGGAAAGTGGAGCAACCTCTCATTAATTAATAGACCAACACGAACGTCCGATTTCGCAGTTGACAAATTATCCAAAATCAACAATATTTTTTTATCAACAGAATATTTTCGTGCTCTTGTTTTCAGTAGAGTCCAAATATCTGTTTGAAATTTCTGCAATAAAACATTTTAATTCGGTGATTTCCCAAAATTCGATGTATAATCAGCATAAAAACAAAAGGAAATAAGCAAAGCATTAAACGTTAGTTAGAATATTTCAAGAATTTAAAGAAAGAAAAATAACGGTGTAGAAAAATAAAGCAATCTCTAATTGGTTAGCAATCAAACATGAATGCCCACGAAATAAAAAGTCGATGAAAGAAATAAAAACAAAAACCTGATCTCTACCCAATTTTAACATAGACAACACACCATAGACAACACCTTCATCATCTTCATCTAGAAATTCTTCGGCAGGCTGAAAACTTTCAACACTTTGAATCTTCAAAAGTTCTACTCTTCAAGACTCTTTACTCAAAAACAACTGACAAAAAAAAGATCGAGTGATCATAATACCTTCAAATAAATTGTTTAGAAAATAAAAAAAAAATGAAAAAAAAATGATTTGAAATGGTTGTGGCTCTTAGCAGTAACAAAAAAACATACTCGGTAGACGCAGCCAAATGGTGACTGTTCCACCAAGATATCAGCCATTTGTTTCACATCAACATCAGCACGAAGAAAAATCTGTAAAAAAAAAAAAATGAATGACAGTACTCACGATTTTATACTACTACTATTCTTTGAATGCAGGCTTTTCTGTTGCGCAGTGAAAAAAGAAAGTGAAGCATTCGAATACTCTTCTAGAAAAACTAAATAATGCCAATAAATGAAATGAGTGCAATAACTCTCAATCACCTTCATAAAACAAAATGATCATTGGTGATTTGAATCGTTAAATAAATTTCTTTGAAGTCTGCACGAATAGCGAAACAGGCACAAAAATTATTTGTTTTAAAATCAAACAAAATAGTGTTTGATCATTTTGACTTAATTTTCAATTAAATTTTAGCACATGTAAGTAGAAAAAAAAATATTAAAAATGCCTGTGTTAACAAATTGACAAGGCCTTCTTTGTCGCCATCGTATATTGGATAAGCTTCGAAATCGAAAACCAATTCCTCAGCATTATCCAAGTCATCCCTCATCAGCTGATTATCATTAAGTGATTCGTCCTGCAACAAATCTTAACTCACTGAGAAATTTGCCTGCAACTCATTATTTTGTAAAAAGAAATACTGAAAAAAGGTTTCGCTGCATGTAGCAGCAAACTATCCAAGAAACTAACCGAATCACTGAGTTTCTCCGCAACGGACACGTCTTTCACCATTCCTATTTTCCGCAAACTGAAGATAAAATTAAGTCGAGAGCCGCTACCGTTACCAAATAATGATTATATGACATCTGCGAAATATTGCAGCTTAATAGTATGTTAGAAATACGTAACAATTTTTAATGAGACTGAGATTTTCCTCGGCCTCCTCCGTTATGCTTCGGGATAGTCGCGTACGGTGGTGAGAAGTATACGTGAAGAGAAATGAGACGATATTGATTGAGAAGTGAGTTATGCTTCGTGATTGTTAAACACCGTGTTCGGAGAGGATCAAACTTGCGCATGTTTCTTCGAATTATTCTTGCACTCTGCTTATACTATTAATTCATTACGCATTCAGTTTTCATGTTGCAGATGAAGCTACAGCTGTAGAAAATTGAGTACGGACAAATCGTAATAAAATCGATTGCCATCATTAAAGTATTACTATGTCAAAAAGCCTTCCGACATCATTACAGCAACAAATGAGGTCGGTAAAAGCACAACAGATAGATATCTTTATTAGACAAACAGTGTAGTTGGATTGGATCAAATTAAGAATGAGCAGTATATCGAAGCAAAATTAAAGTTCATTTATTTTGCCAATTTCTGCTTCATTACGGATTCATTTTAATCATTAATTGCATTTTTCTATTACTCTCAGTAAGTAATTAATTTTTTTCTTGTAATTTTCATTCAAATATCTTTTTTTTATATTATAATTTTTATTCAACATCGAATCTCAATTTGCAAATATTTTTTTTTCAAATTGAAAGTAATTTGCATAGATGAAATCTTTCTTTACTATTCAGCTGCATATTTTCTTATTTTCAAAATTTTCGAACAAAACTTTTTGGAAGACTTTTACACATTATTTTAATTCCTATCCTTTATGCCAGAACTTTAATAATTCCGAAAGAACATCAGTGCTGTCAAGCTTTATTTATTTCTAAATGCTAGATTTTATGATGATCATCATTCTTCAATGTTTGCTTTGCTATTTGAAAAAGCAAAATCCTATAAAAATAATTTCTTTACAATTTTTTCATCCTGAAATTTCCGGTTAAAATAAGTGACCAGGAAAAAGTTTAAAATTTTCCTATATAAACAGCTAAATTAAACTAAACGTTTGCCATTTTTCTGGCATTTTTTTTAAAATTGTGTACACATCAATTGACTTTAGCAAATTACGAACCTCACTGAATCGATCTCTGCCCTATTTATGTGTAGAATTGTTTAATGCAAGATTATAGAAGGGGACGATCTTCCACATTGTTACAACGGCTATTTCC